CTGAACGTTGGAGATATAGTTCTTATCCCACGCGGCTCCCAGTGCGATGTTGGCAAATCGCAAAACGAGGAGATTTTTGACCATTTCCTTGCCCAGATAATGATCGATACGGAACGTCTCGTCCTCGGTCCAGTACTCCTTGAGTGACTTTAATAACTCGGCAGCGCTAGCCGTATCCTTTCCGAACGGCTTCTCGACGATGACGCGGTTGATGCCAGTAGTGACATAGCACTGTTCTCTGAGATTTTTGGCGACGGGGACGAACACGCTGGGAGGAAGGGCAAAGTAGAAGAGGCGGTTGGCCTCCTTGGAGGCATAGTGGGACTCGATCTCCTCGAGGTGTGCGTTGAGCGCAGCAAAAGCCTCGCCTTCGTCGTAGCTGCCGGAGACATAGGTAGAGATAGACTTGAACTTCTCTACGGCCTGGGTGATCTCGGGGTCGTCGTTCGGGTTCTTGAGGTAGGACGTCGCGCGCTTATGGTATTCGGCCTTGTCCATCTTTGTCCGGGCATAGCCGACGATCTTGACATCGCGGGGGAGGAAGCCCTGGCGGAACAGACCAAAGAGGGCAGGGAAGGTCTGTAGATGTGGGGTGAGCCGCCGCTGAGGCGAGACCGCCGAGCTGAGCGCTTCGACGCACCTTCTTCTTGGCAAGATCGCCCGATGCGCCGAGGACTGCGATGGTCGTCGGGGTGAATGACAAGCGATAAAGATAGGCCGTTGCACTGACCGACGATGATGGTGTTGTCCTTGAGGGCATCGTGACTTGATTCCATCGAAGGGATGGAGCCGGACATGGTGGGCGTGGGGTGGTGTGGAGGATGAGGTGAAGATGGTGGTAGAGGAAAGAAAGAGATGTTACTTCGGAAATGCGTAATAAGTTGCTGAGCGAGCTTAATGCCGGCCCGGTCTCGCGAGTGACAGTCACTCTCGGCCATGCCGTCCACAACCGGGCTGCCTGAAGAGCCATATGTCGCGGTCATCGACAACCTCAGGGAGCTCGTTGACCCACAAAATCTGTCAAAGGACTCGGCCGCAATCCACATACGCGCTGCTGCGCTCACCGGTCGTCTTAAATCTCTCGCACGCGCCGCAAACACCGCAACCCGCCACACAAAAAATCTCACCGCCGCTGCCCGTCATGACATGGACCAGTCATATCTTGGCCTCCAGAACTTGCTCTACGAGAAGCGCCACCTCGAGCGGGAGATAGAAAAGTGTCGCCAATTCGCGTGAGTATACAGGTCGCGTCAAGTCGCGTGTTGTTCACTCGTGTCCAGCTCAGTGTATCAGGACATCCCACTCTATACCCTGGACAAATTTGAGCTGCTCGCGCCGCCAGAGGCCCGTTCAGAAGATGTTCTGTCCGATGAGCACCAGCTCCTGCTCAACCGGTTGAGCTTTGAGTTTGTCGAGCGCCAACGGTAGCTTTTCCCTCGACCGCGCATGCGTGGGCTCACACAATTTCAGCCTGGATAAGATGAAGAGGGAACTTGTGCAGCAGAAAGAAGAGCTGCTGAAGGAGAGCAAAGCGAAGCTCACCACCATGGACAACATTAAATCGCAAATCGAAACCCTCGCCAAGGTTCGTACTTCTGATGGAACACCTACCGCATACTCATCCTGCGACTAGGTGGCTGCCGAGGTGCAAAAGAAAGTTGATGAGCTTGCTTTGCCAATACCTGCTGTAGATACAAACGCGCCAGGCTGAATAAACACACCATTCTAAACCATTAATATTACAAATTGTATTGAACTACACAACATCCGCAGGGAGAATGCAAAAGAGTACAGAGAGAGATGAGATATAGATATATGGGGGATGAACAATGAAATGCGACTTGGAAACGAAATGCAGAAGAATCAGGCTTACTCGCCCTCGCTCATGCTACCAATGTCACTCATCTCCTCATCTGCATCGTCGTCATCTTCGCCGTCTGCAGCAGCATCCGCGGCCTCCTTGGTTGCGAACCGCTGGACATATTCTGGAGCACACGAGCATTAGTTGACGCAGCAGATTGCGTGAGTTAATCACACACCCTTCACTTTCGCGTCGTACTCCTTCGGGTGGCGCATTAAGAGCGCCGCGGCCTCCCCATTTAACGGGTCGTTGGGGTTCGGGTACCGCAGAAGCTGAGGGAGAAACACCTCGAATATATTGATCATATCTGCGCCAGTCAGCACAAGAGCAAGGGGCGAGCGAGCGAACGGTGCAGACCAAACATGGGCGACCAGGTCTGGTTGATAACGTCGAGACACACGGACCCGCTTCTGTCCCGCGGGGATGAGTAAGTACAATCCACCCAAGAGCACCGCACGTACAGCTCGTCGATATTCGGGTGGAATATCTTGTTCATGAAGCCTATGCTGGGAGACTTGAAAGGGTACTGGTCGGGGAGCTCGACGTGGATCTTCCAGACGCCGCCAGCGAAGGGAGCTTGGCACCGGGGAATGTGAACGGTGGCGCAGGTCGCGAGGAGAACGCTTACTTTCGGCCGGACCGTGGAATCGGACATAGAACTCCTGCATGCTGTCGTTGACGAGGGAGACCTCGTAGTCGGACATTAGCCTGATCAAGCACGTCGTTAGTGGGCAGTAGCCAATGCAGCAACGGTGAGTAGCACATCTTCATTACATCGGTTTCGATGCGGCGCTTGCTGGGGGAGGCGTATAACACGCAGGGTTAGCCGGGGGCGGGTGGACGACGAGGGGGGCACTCATCATAAGGGCGGAACACGAAGAGAGTGGGAGGAAGGTGTCAGAGTCTAAGCGAACGTAGCAGCCGGGATTTACCGCGCTGTATCATGTCGTCGAATCTTTCTACATACAGCATACAGCATAATCGATTCAAAAGAACGTGTATTCTTCGACGATACAGTACGCGTCGTCAATGGCGCAGGGGTACGGCCGCACTCCCTGACCCTGACCAGCAATCCCCTCCATCCGTCTTGTTCTTACATCGACCACTGGCATTGTCGCATCGTCTGCTCCCCCGCCGGCGGCCAACCATGAATTGGCTCCTTGTCCTTGTGCCTTCAGCGAATGCCACCCCAGAAGCACACCTTGAGTCTCTGTCAACACGGCTCTCGAAAGTATATCGGACGCCGCACTCATCCAGAAAAGGCCGAAGCAGAATATCAGCACCATCTCTTCCTGGGTCTGCGTCAACAAATGCCCTTCCCGTCGATGGTGCATCGTGATTCTGTGTTCGGGCATCACATCCTGGCACATCTACGGCCTTGGTGAACGTACAGAAATATGAGCCCGCTCACGGCCAAAATGGCTACCGAGGTCTGCGTCAAGTGAAACGCATCTATAGCCCAGCGCTCGGAGGTTGGACTTCAATAGTGCAGCAGGAACATACGGAAATGCGAAACGAAAAGCGAGACGACGTGTGCAACGAAGAGTACCACTATCACTGAAAGGTCTGCTTAACGTGCTGCGGTCCAACTGAGAGAAGGACACTCGCCTGACACAGTAGCGCGGACGGGTCTGTCTTGAAATAGTGCCATGGGGGGTGCGATAAGTATTTCGATTGCACACAGGTTAAATAATACAGCAGCACGAGGCAACCACGCCGGATACATGAGTTAGATTGGGTGCAAGACAAGATTTAGCTAACGGGATACATCTATATCATTCTTTCATTTTGTTAAATTCCGGACGCTTTGGACTAGACGGTTTGAGTAACTAGCGGCGAACGTTAATTTTGGGGATCTGCGATTTTTTTCACAAGACTCACGCGTCGGCCCACCCGGGCCCTGGTGGATCTGGTACACGGCAGGCATCTGATACCCATATTGCTGCTGCGGGTACATGACCGCAGGATACTGCACCATGCCTTGCTGGTGGTTGTTGTAGTACCCAGGCATCTCATGGAACCAGCCCAGTTCTGCAGAATAGATAAGCTGGGTCAACGAGCATACTAAAATAAATAAATCGCATACCTTGGATGGGCTCACGCCAAATGTGCGGCCGACCAAACCTCTGCGCTTGGTTGACCAAGGCAATAAGAATGGTCAAGGCAAACGAAAAGAGTACGAAGAGCATCCAAGAAAATGCCTGGATGACCTTCATTTCGTAGCAATATTCTTTTTGGCGTACTAGGCGGGATCAGCGTCTATCGAGGCGCTTGCAATAGGCACAGCGTACTTTCTCCATTTTTGGTGGGCATGGTCTCCGAGGTGAGAGCATCGCACTGTGTAGAGCCTATGATATCGCTGTGGGTCTGTCAGCTGGCAATACGATTTAGAGAGAGCATGCCTCACGTTGCCCATGCTGCCATTGCTTGAGGAAGAGCGTTGGCGAAATTAGAATATACGGAAAGAATGAGCGCTCACCCAACCACAGAGTCCATAATATGAACAAAGACACGGCTTCAGTGCGAGGCTGAGCGAATTGTAATCTGAACATAACTGAGTCGAGTACCACCATTCAAGACAGCAAGCGCACGAAAGCAAAAAGACGAAGATGGTGAGGGCAGGGATCAAGAGCGCAAAGATTGTGAAGTCGGCTGGTGTTCCTCAACTCAGTGACGCGCGGCGGATTGAACTAACACTTACGGTGCAAATGAGGCAGGAATATATTCGCGAAATGGGCGGCTAGACCGAGCACGGTTCCTGGAATGCATGTGAGCTGTGCATACACTGATACAGATGGGCAGGATCCGAACCTGATAGCAGGAATACGGCCACTGCGCGGCGCGTTAGAACGATAGTCCATGAGAAATGTGAGTGTGCTGACCATACAATCCAATTCGATACCTTTCCGACCATTCAAGAATCAACACCATTCAACGTCGAAATTGTCAAAAATCAATACGTACGATGCGAAGCGTACAGTCATGAGTATGTCGTCGGTTCGTCGTTAGAGAAATGGGCGTTTTGTTCAAGTCAACCACGTTGCGCGAAGCCTGTAAGAGCAAGCGCCTAGGTCCGGTTCGGGACCCGAACATGGGACACGTGATGCTGTCGCGGCAAAGGAGAAGAAGGAAAAAGAAACTCTCGACCTGGGAGTCGAACCCAGCTTTCGCGCGAAATCACAAGGATGGCATTCATATCCATGACAGGCGCGTGTACTAAACCGATATACTAGTCGAGACATGTTGACACGTAACTCACCTGAGTAATGATGGGCACACTCTCAAGTACTCGTGAAGAACGCATCATATCATTACATGATTTCAAGTCATATACATGTATGTTTTAAAAAGTGACTTGAGCTTCTTCGAGTTGCTCATCCGTCGCGCAAGCGCAACCCACGACCCCACCGTCATGTCCTCCAGCTCGTATGGTGTCTGCTTATTCTTCAGATGTGAAGGCAGATTCCGCGGGGGTACAGGGTAGAATCCGTCGGGGCCGGCGAGCAGATCCGCTCCGTATGTGACATACTCCAACTTGAAGCTTGGCGTATGGGTCTTGTTCGCCCTCTCAAGATGTGGAATGTAGTACTGCCGCACATTCAGCAGAAGCACATCAAGGCCCAGAATATATCACATACCTGCGCATACCCCAGAGGCGTCCACAGCTGATTGCTTCTCGATGGGGCGTCTGGGTCAGAGTGCCACGTCTCATTGAGCTGACATGTCCACGTCTCGCGGTACTTGTCCAACTTGCACAGTTTTTGCTTGTCCTTGCTGTTTCCTCCATGACGATGTCCATGCTTGCGGCCCTTGAGACTGTTGACCGTTCCGGTGACATTGTACGAGAACATGCGGAAGCTTGGAAGGTAGGGGTTCGGAACTACGGACGGTGAAACATGGATGACCGCGTAATCGTTCAAGTTAATTTCCTTCGCTTTCGGCATGGCCGCAAAGTCAGCGAGGATTGTTTCGAACAGGTTGTCGTTGTTTTGGTTCCTGGCTGACTCGACGATCTCGAGGTCACCCGCTTCGAGGAAGAAGAACTTGAGGAGAAATAAGTCAACGAAAGATTTTTAGCGGGGAGGAATAGCGAACATGATCTGCATTCATGTGCTTGAAACAAAATGTCAACACGGCATCCATCTGGCTCATCGAAAACCGCTTACCCCAAAGAGATGACCCACAATCGTGTCCTGAAATCTCAGGGCCAGTTCGACATACCGAACATACTGCAGAAAAGAGCTTTCAAGCTTTCTCCGAATGAAGTAATCAAAAATACATACGCATTCAGGGAAATAATTCCCTGGGGATGGCGGGACGTGCCCTGGTCGTCCAATTAAATCACAACCCAAACTTGACATTTAATACGCACCTGATAGCCACACCTGCAACAGCAATGAGAGGGGACGCAAATCCAAAAATCGGTTCGGCGTACCTGCATCCCCCGGGCTCTAAAGCCCTTTAATTGCACCTCGAGCCAATCGAACTCGAGGTTCCCTGCGTCATCACGGTCCTTGAACGCACAGCCCCCGACCGCTATCGCAGTTTTCTCAGCACAAAATTGTGAGGAATACACTTAACGCAATCATACCTTTGTTAGAGTCATAAAAATACATCGTGTTGAGACTGATAACAGCTACTGAGTCCGGAATAACTTCCACGGCATAATACGCGCCACGCTGGAAGATTTGAAGATAGGGGAAGGGAATGAAGGCTTTCCAGATGCTGGGGAACGGCAGTTAGCTCCCGGGAAAGCGCTCTATCCCCGACCTACGAAGCGAATTCACTCGTGATACTGTTAGGACCTGGTATCATGATGTTCTGTAGGCAGAACGTGAGTACAAACCGTTAGTGAAGGAAACCGTGTCTCACGTGTGCTGTGGAATGTTCAGGGATTTTAAATAATTCTAGGTAACAAGACACTCACGCCAGACATCGTTGTTTCCTGGAGAAGAGGTCGTCAAAGATGTGCCTGGCGCGAGAAAACAGGATGCTAACCGAGACTAGGAATAACAGGGATCCCGCGGCTAGTAAACGCCGAATTCATCCTGGCGGCCACTGCTCGATTCAGATCATAGATCTCAGTTGGCGTTCGAGGAAGCTTTCGGTCATTGTCATGTCTGTCTGGCGTTGAGGCTGACCACGCCAGAAACCCCTACAGCCGAACGTACCTCGCATTATCGCCGGTCCCTGCGGCGGTAGAGGTCAGCGCGCGGGAGTTGAGAGGAGTGCGTGCATACAGATAACAAAGTCAATTTCCGACGCCCACTGCGAGCCCAGTCAGAATCTTTCTGGAACCGAGAAGAGGGTAGCTACTTTCTTCTCGATAAAGTCGAGCGTAAAGTTCGTTAGCCGGAACGGCGAGTCACAGTCTCTGCTCGACATTGCAGTTCACATAGCAGGCCAAAGCCGAGCGAACGCACGAGTACGGCTCTCCATAATAGCCCGCAATATTCTTCTTCTTCTTGCCTTTCTTTCGATGACACGAGGTCTTCTCCGCTGTCTTTTGCTGGTAGAATGGATCAGGGTGCATGTCTGTGATCTTGAAAGGACATCAGGACTGTTGAAGCACTCCGAGACGCGGTGGCTAAGTACGTGTAGAAATCGGCCATGGAGTTTTCGGGGCTCTTTTCAAGTCAGGACCAATCGGAGGCGTTAAATGGTAAAGCAGCGCACTTGCAAGGGCAGGGACTTCATATGGAACCTGTTGAGGTGCTGCATAGACGTCGAGCAAGCCCGAGCAAAGGAAAATGAGAGAACTCAGTATCATGGTGCAAGGCAATCATGTCATTGGCCAAGGGACACCGATATAGCAATTTGGCGTCTATATTTGGATAACGCCTTCAAAAAACATGTACAACAGCTAAGTATTCTAACTAGACGCGATTTTAAACTATTATGATGCTACAAGATACGGTGGCAGTTACAACAACACAAGACCCAGAAGTGCGAGAAGAATCTGACGGAAAATAATCAGGTGGTCGTGATGTCTTCGCGTGCGGGCGATTCTGTGGGCTTGTGCAAGGCAAGAAGATATGCAACATTATCTCCGGTGTCGAGAACTTCCTGTATGGAGATAACCGCGAGGTGGCAGACCTTGTAGACGCGTCAAATCGTCGGAGAATCGGTGGTAACAAGCCAAGCTTACCCTCGAATATCCTCCCGCTTCCAGCGTCCCGCGGCTGTGGGAATTGTGTTCAGTACGGTGGGGCCGTGGGCGGCGGCGTAATACACGTACCTCTTGGCTATGGCGTTATGGATCGCGTCCGTACTGTAGCGGCGCCTGAGAAAGGATAGATGAATGAAAGTGATGCGGAGTGGCAACTGGGTGACGCACAGTATGCTTTCGAGTTCGCGTCTTGTCTGGGGCAGTATGAAGAGGTGTTCGCCAGACAGGTATCTCTGAACGAGAACAGTCAGACGGGGTGCGGTGTGGCGCGCCTCATATCACTCTGACCTCGAAGCTGCGATAAGAGGCACAATGAGCCACGATAGTTTCGTCGATGGTGGGCCCAGAAACATCCCAGTCGATGCCGTTTTCCCTAGTGTTGAATGTTGGTTAGAAGACGCAGAGGAAGAGGAGGAACAAGGCGCCGTACGTGGCGTGGAAGTGGGCGCGAGCCTCGCGGGAGTGGGGGGCAAGAAATTTGTCGATACTCATGGGATAGATTTGGGTGGCAAGGTGGTGGGGTAACGAGGATAAGCCGCCGTCTTTATATATGTGCGCGGCTTTCAAATCGGAAAACTTGCATCGCACGTTCGATGTTCGCGAGTCAGAGCGAGATTACGTGAAACTTTGATCCGGTGGGGAGTTGAGCCTTCTTTCTACTTACCATCAGCCGGCATATTAGAGGCCAAGGACTGTCGCTGCATTAGCTAACTTGTCGCCCGCAGCCAAGTTACCAATACCCGTCTCTAACGCCTCGGGCCAAGCATGTCGGACGACACTCCACTTTACCGCCCGCAGAACTCTGATACATCTGCCACTTTCCGCTTCAGAGATCTCGTCAACGCCAAGTATGGCCTATCCCTCCGCACATATCACGATCTCTGGCTCTGGTCAACGTCCCACGTCTCAGACTTTTGGAGCGACGCTTGGGATGTCACCAATATCATCGGTGAGAAAGGCGCGCGTGTAGTTGACGAGTCGGTCAACATCACCGGAAACCCACCGTGGTTCCCTGAAGCTCGTGTAAACTGGGCAGAGAATATGCTCCACTGCCGGTCCACTGAGAAAGTGGCCTTGATTCAAGCGAGTCTGTGAATGAATTTTCCACTGTGGCCACCATCCCTGAAACCTCGTCCCAGCTGAACCTACACCGCTTAACCCCACTCCGGATTTAAGGCAATACACATATGCAGAATTGTACGACTTGGTTTCTCGGCTCGTTTCGTCTCTCCTCGCAAATGGCCTGAAACCTGGGGATCGTGTCGCGTCTTACTCGTCCAATTGCATCGAGAACGTAGCCCTGTGTCTCGCGACTACTGCTGTTGGGGGGATCTGGGTCGCTGCTGCTGCTGATTTTGGTCCCGCCGGAGTCCTGGAACGGTCAGTAACTCTTGGCTGCAGTCGCCTCCAGACATAATTCGGTTCACGTAGGTTCGAACAAGTGCAACCCAAGTTCATTTTCGCTGTCGACGCGTTAATATACAACGCCAAGGTACACGATCACCTTGCGAAGCTTACGACTCTGCTTTCGGGACTTGCCGCCAAGTCTCTTAACCCTGCCAAGGTTGTCGTCATACACGCACTCCTAAATATAGAGGACCGGTCGGCATGGAAGGATGGTTGGGTAAGTTGGGAGGATTTTTTGCTTGAGGGGGACGCCAAGAAGCTTGGACGTGCTCATGGAGAAATTCTCTGGCATCGAGCCTCGTTCAACTGGCCTCTGTGGATACTGGTATGTGATTCTTTGGCCAGATCTCAAACTCTAACATTGCGTTAGTTTTCGTCGGGTTCGACTGGTACGTGGTTCTTTCGCCAAATTTAACACTCTAATCTTGCGTTAGGAAGACCAAAGTAAGTTGCCATCAACGAATTTCATCACCCATTTAATCTTCGCAGAGCAATCGTACACCGTGCTGGTGGGATGTTATTACAGGCGAAGAAGGAATTTGTAATTTGCGCGGACCTCAAACCAGAGGATGTATTTTTCTATTATACTACAACGTATGTTTCCGACTCTCTCTCTCTGGAAACTTGACTGAATCTTGTGAAGCGGCTGGATGATGTATAATT